TGACATGAACAGCTGGGAGGGTAGGATCGAATATATCCAATGCCTGGGCTTGTTTAACTGCCAGTTTTGCCTGTTGAAAAGCATCCTGTTCCGTTCTCCCCAGTCCCATAGTTGCCCCTTTTTGTAAGTCTGTACAGCAGCTGCCTAAATGAGGTATAAAGAGTGCCAATATCCCAGTATACCTAAAAGCTCCTGCAGCTGCTTTGGTGTTGTAGGGACTGGGAACGCCTGACCCTTATCTATTACAGCACTGGGTAGTACTTTGGTCTTTCCTGACCAAACTACTCCCAGGGCCTTGCAGGCCTGGACCTTGCGCCTTCTGAGGATTTAAAGCCCATCCTCTTTCTTACAGATAGGTAGTTAATGAATCTGCTGTCTGTCCTACCACCTCCAATGAGTCGGATGTCAACGGGAGATCATCAATATAACGATACAAGATAACATTATTGGGTTTTCTCCAATTGCCAGGTCACGGGCCACTAGATTATGGCGAATGCACGTACTCCTGTGGCAGGACCTGAAAGGTCCACTGCCTGCCTCCCCATGTAAACACAAACTGATCTTGCGATTCTTCAGCAATTGGAATACTGAAGAATGCACTTGCTAAATCTAGGACACAATGGTAGGATTTTATCTCCCTACATAGGGGGGTTTTGGTTCCTCTATCCAGGGAATCACAAGATAACAGAGCAGCCCGGCAGCTCTTGTGAGAGCGGCTGATGTGAAGTGAGCCTTGCCAGGGCAATGGCTCTGCATCCATGCCCTCTGCCTTGAAAAAGCCTATGGGAGACAGAGAGGAGGAGCATCACGTGGGCTGTTTTAATGAAGAGAAACTGTAAGCCACCTATTTGCGCGACTACACAGGGAGATGGGGTGGTATCTCGCTGTGAAGAAAGTGAGTGGAGACTCAGATAGAAAGCATGAATGTCCATGCCGCAGTTCAAGTCTCAGGCTGCAGAGGATGCCTGGCCCTGTCACTGCTGTCAGGAGGGCAGCCGGGATACCACCTGTGTGAGGTGTGAGCAGGTGGGTGATCTGCTCAGTGTGGTGGTAGAGCTCAAGGAGGGAGCAGAAAGGCTGAGGAGCATCCGGGATTGTGGAAAGGGGATCGATTGGTGGAGTCACACTCTGCCATCCCTATAGGAAGGGTATGGGGGAGATGCTCCTCAAGTAGTGGGGGATGGAGCGACCTCAAAGGCAGCGAGGCATGCAAACAAGTTCCGGTTTGAGGCATCAAGCTGACTGCCCCTCGGCCTTCCCACCTTCCCAGATGCCTTTACATAACAGCTATGAGGCTCTGGAGCTGGAGGGACTGTGGGATGTGGATGTCAGTGAAAGTCCACCCGTGCAGGAGAGGTTGCCCCAGGCTAGTCAGTCTGCTCCCTGTTTTGCTAGAGCATCAGTCAGGAAAAAAAAAAAAGAGCTGTTGTCATAGCGGACTCCCTTCTGAGGGTGCAATACGCTGCTCAGATCTGTCCCATGGGGAGGTGTGTTGCCTGCCTGGTGCCTGGGTGACAGATGCTTCCGGGAACATCGCTTGCATTGTTATGCCCTCTGATTATTATCCCTTACTGGTTTTCCACATTGGAAATGAAGAGCTAGGCAAAAGAAGGTTCTCAGGTGATCAGAAGGGACTTCAGGGCTCTGGGAAGACTTCTGAAGGGATCGGGAGTGCAAGTTGTGTTCACCTCTGTCCTCTCAGTTGGTGACTGGGATCCACGCAAAAGGAGGAGGGTGGACACGTTGAATGAATGTCTTTGCGAATGGTGTCGTGCTCAGGGCTTTGGGTACTATGGCTTGGGATGCAGCCTTGAGAAGGGGGGAATGCTGACAGCAGATGGGAGCTGACTGACTAGAAGGGCCACAAATATTCTTGGGAATAAGGTGGCTGGGCTGGTTATAAGGGCTTTAAACTAGATATGATGGGGGAAGGGAGTGTACTAAGTGACAGAAAAGCGTGTGAGAACGCTGTCACCTTGAGAGGTGGTAAGAGAAAACCCCAGACTTGTGCTGGAGGTACTAGGGAGGGCTCCTCTGAGAAGGCAACAAGGCCAATAGCTAAGCTGAAGTGCCTCTATACCAATGCGTGCAGCATGGGAAATAAACAGGAGGAGTTAGAAACCGTGGCGCAATTGGGAAAGTATGACCTAATTGCTATCGCAGAAACATGGTGGGATGAATCCCATGATTGGAATACCCTGATTGAGAACTACAAGCTTTTCAGAAGGGATAGACAGGGTAGGAGGGGTGGAGGAGTTGCCTTCTATGTTAGGAAGTGGTTAGATTGCAAAGAGCTGTGTCTGAGGAACAGCCACAATCAGGTCGAGAGCTTGCGGGTAAAAATCAAGGACTGGCCCAGCAAAGGGCATGTAGTGGTTGGGGTCTGCTACAGGCCACCTGATCAGCCTGTCGATGAGGCTTTCCTGCTTTCAGCTGCAGGAGGTGTTGCGCTTGAGGGCTCTTGTCCTGATGAGGGATTTCAACCACCCGGATATCTGCTGGGAGAGTGGTGTGGTGGGTGGCAGACAATCCAGGAGATTCCTGGAGTTTGTGGAGGACAACTTCCTGGTTCAGGTAGTAGATGGATCAACCTGAGGTGAAACCTTACTGGACCTGCTGCTCACTAATTCAGAGGAGAGCGTTAGAGAGGGTAAGATTGGAGGCAGCCTGGGCTGTAGTTACTATGTCTTGGTGGAGTTTGTGATCTTGAAGAATGTGGGTCTGGCAAAGAGCTAGGACCCTGTGCTTTAGGAGAGAAAAATTCTGGCTGCTCAAGGAACTGTTGAGTGGGATCCCCTGGGAAACTGTCCCTAAGGGCATGGGTACAGAACAAAGCTGTCAGCTCTTTAAGGACACCCTTCTGAGAGCACAACTGCTCTCCATCGCTCAGCAGAAGTCGTCGAGCAGGGGAGGCAGGTGACCGTCATGGCTGTGCAAGGACCTGCAGCTTAAACTGAGAGAAAAAAGGGAATTGTACAGAAAGTGGAAGCAGGGTTGTGTATCCTGGGAGGAATACAGGGCTGTTGTCCGTGTGTGCAGAGATAGGAATAAGAAAGCCAAGGTGCAGATTGAGCTGAACTTGGTGAGGGATGTGAAAGATAACAAGAAGGAGTTCTACAGGTACATAGGCAGGAAGACACAGGCCAAGGAGAGCGTTCCCCCTCTGATGAAAGGCAACATGAAGCTGGCTTCCTCAGACATAGAAAAAGCTGAGGTACTCTATGAGTGCTTTGCCTCAGTCTTCACAGGTAGTCAGGCTTCCCGTGTCTGCCAGGATTGTGAGCCTCTAGGTGAGGGTGTGGGGAGTGGTTTCTGTCCCACTGTAACGGTGGAACAAGTCCAAGCCCTCCTCATGAAACTGAATGTGTTTAAGTCCCCCTCTACTCGACTCTTGTGAGGCCCCATCTGCAGTGCTGCGTCCAGGCCTGCCCCAGGGCCCCCAGCACAGGAAGGACGCGGAGCTCTTGGAGCGGGTCAGGAGGAGGGCACTGAGATGATGAGAGGGCTGGAGCACCTCTCCTACGAGGAAAGGTTGAGAGAATGGGGCTTGTTTAGCTTGGAGAAGAGAAAGCTGTGGGAGGACCTCATTGTGGCCTTTAGTACTTGAAGGGAGTGTATAAACAGGAGGGGGAATGGCTGTTTGTGAGGGTGGATAGTAATAGGAAAAGGGGGAATGGTTTTAAACTGAGACAGGGGAGATTTAGGTTGAATATTTAGAGGAAGTTTTTCACTCATAGGTTGGCGACGCACTGGAACAGGTTGCCCAAGGAGGTTGTGGATGCCCCATCCCTGCAGGCATTCAAGGCCAGGCTGGATGTGGCTCTGGGCAGCCTGGTCTGCTGGTTGGCAACCATGCACATAGCATTCTATGATTTCATGATGTGATTCTATAACACCACTTTACTGGTTCATGGTGAACTTGCGCTCCTCTCTGCGCTCTCCCTTCCAGAATCTATGGACACTGATAAGACTCTCACCAGTATGCCCATGTCTCTCTGGTACAGGGGGTCCCAGAAACTGACACATTGCTCAGGCTATGACCGCACCAGTGATGGGAAGAGAAGCAAGTTTACCTCCTTTGACCTGTTGGTGATACCCAGTCTGATGCAGCCTAGGATATAGTTAGCCTTCTTTGCTATCCCTTCCTTCACTCAGAGGCTGGTGATACACTGGAACAGGTTGCCCAAGGAGGTTGTGGATGCCCCATCCCTGCAGGCATCCAAGGCCAGGCTGGATGTGGCTCTGGGCAGCCTGGTCTGCTGGTTGGCAACCATGCACATAGGAGGGGGTTGGAACTAGATGATATTTGAGGTCCTTTTCAATCCAGGCCATTCTATGATTCTATGATGTGATTCTATAACAGCACTTTGCTGGTTCATGGTGAACTTGGTGTCCACCAGGACCC